TCGAACCGTCCGCCGGAGCCCCTCACACGCCGGGTAAAACCGGAGCGCACACGGCCCCACACACCGGGCCGGACACACCTCTCGGTAACCCGGAGAGGGACCGAGGAGGGGGAAGGGAACGGACAGAGGGAGGGAGGGGGGAGGGAAACCGCGTCAGGCGCCGGCCGGCGAATCGGCCGCTGCGAAACAGCAGCTACACTCGGGCTGGGGAGGGGGGGCGAGTGAGAGGGCGCGGGCAGCGCTGTGCGCATGCGCGAAAGGGCGGCCGGGGTGTTTTTTTTCTTCCCCCCTCCCTCTTCTCCCCGCGCCCGGTCGTACGTGGTGGGCGTGGCCTCGATGCTGTGGGCGGGGCCATGGGGGCGGAGCTTTATGCTGGCGCTCTGCAGAGCTGCCGGGGTATCCCTAGGTTGAGTTCACCTTGGCTGGGTTTCACGTCTTTTTATGTCAGTTTTCAGAAGCAGAAGAAAAATCCAGTAGGTGGAACCGCCCGCATACTTTTCAGGTTTGCTTTTTCACGCTCAAATTCTCGGCCCTGTCTTTACACCGCACCCCTAGGGATGTGATTATTATTTCCATGTTACAGCTGGAGGCAGGGAATCTCAAAAAACAAACAAAACCACAACAAACACCGGCCCGGGTGTGACAAGGTGCACGACCCCACTTCTCCTGCCGTCACATCAAGAATGGACGCTAGTTAGGACGTCGGGGCTCATCAGTTGCCTTCGCTTGGAGAGATCATTCTGTTGCCAATTAGTTTCCGTTTTCTCCAGTGTTAAATAATAAGAGTTCACGGAGGCTCGATAGACAAAGTACTTACAACACGCCTGGAACGTGGAAAGCATTGCACAACAGGTGTGATAGCCTATTTCCAGCCTCTGAATCAAGTGTGTGTGTGTGTGTGTGTAGGGGGAATTGATCAAATGTTTGAATGTTTTATATTAAAACACTGAGAAATGAGGCCACGTGCCTAATTTAGGCTGTTACCTCTCCCCTGAATTAAAGCTATCTATAGTCTTCCGAGTGGAGTAGATTTAAAAAAAAATCTATCCCTCACAATTGCTTTTCATTGATTTTCTCTGTTCTTCCCGTCTTGAGTGTCTAACTAAAATAATTGCAGCGTTTATCAGCCCCAGTTTATGGGGACTGCTTTCCTTTAAAAAAAAAAAAGTTGAATTCCTAGAAGGTAAGAATTTTATTTAAGATAACTCTGACACATTAGCTCTTTTCCCCAAAAAAGTCCACAATCTGTCTACTTGCTTGTTGGCATCTTGATCACTCGTCTTTCATGGATGAATTGGATGCTTTTCGAAGTTTCTGACACATCTACTTTTATTCAGCTTACTTTCTATTAGGGAGATAACTATTTGGTAGGAAAATCTAGAGTCCCAAGTCCCATTATTTTTTTAACTTAATAATTCCAGAAGCTTTTAGGAATAGTTTTTTTTTAAAAAACCAGTAAGTTCTTAAGTTGCCTATTAAGAACATATTATTTGTGAATGTCTTTAGAAACAAAATTGTCTTTTATAGGGAGACTTCACACTAAAGAATCAGCCAATCTCTCTTACACACTTGTATTAACCTTGGTTTAATTTTTAGCAAAGGAAAACGTCTATTTCCAGGGCTTTCATTTACCCTTCTGGTTTTAAGTTCTATCATCTGTCAAACTGCTAAAACACAAGGACTAAGAGATAAGAGACACAGAGTTCCAGTGCACACCAAAATCTCCAGGGCAACCAGATGCTCATGGCTCACTCAGAAGACTGAGTTCTGAGGATTGAAGTTTGTTCTCAGCCTGGACAGGAAAGGCCAAGAGACCCTGTTCCCCAATTAATTACTGAAAAACCAGAAGTGGAACTGTGGCTCAAGTGTTTGAAAAATAACCTGGAACAATAAAAACAGGCAACGCCCAGGTTCTGAACCCAAACCTCATTACTGGCACAATACATACATAAGTAAATAAATAATATGTAATAAATATAAATAAGTAGGGCTGGGAAGGTGGCTCAGTGGTAGAGCGCTTGCCTTGCATACATGAGGCCCTGGGTTCGATTCCTCAGCACCACATAAGCAGCAAAAAAAAGGCTGGAAGTGGCGCTGTGGCTCAAGTGGTAGAGCGCTCGCCTTGAGCTGAAGAGCTGAGGGACAGCGCCCAGGTCCAGAGTTCAGGCCCCACGACCGGACCCAGAAAAAAAATATATATATATATAAATAAGTAAATGCAAGTAAGTAGAAATAAGTAATGTAAAAAAGATATAATGTATATATGTTTATAAATAAAAACATGTAAGTGTTTATATATTATAATATACAATGTAGTATATAACATACTACATCTATGTAGCATATAATAATCTTATATATCATATATGCTATAGTATGTGTAATTATATAATACCTTATATACAAATATACATAAATATATAATACACTACAGAATATGATATAGGATATATTTATGTATAACTATATGTAACTATCATATAAAGGTGATTTATAAATATGAAATATTTAAAGTATAAAAACAAATATAAATATAACTTAATTGCAACTCTAATATATGATTATAAATATATTTATATTCAATAAATATACGTTATGTATTGCATTGCATATACATGTGATATAGTATATATAAATATATCACGTATCACAAATAAACATTATATGCTATATCTATATATAATTATATTGTATATAATTATCTGTAATATATTATAACCTATCACATATAATTTATCATAGACTTATTTATATATGTATAACTATCACATTACCATATAAGTATATGATTTATATAATATATACACGTATGTAATATATAAAATATAAATATGTATATGTCGTATTTATATATATTGTATTTCTATAAACAAATATAGGAATAGAAACAAGCACCCCTGGGGTCGGCGGTGCCCTTCCGGCTTCCGCTCTCGCGAGACTGGCGGGCCGGAAGTGGCGTCGCGCTCGCGTCCCAGGCGGCCCGCCGGTGGGGGCTGCGTGATGTTGGCGGGAACTCCACGGACGTCCGGCGGCCCCGGGACGCGGCGGACGAGCCCCGCGGCGTCGCGGGCAGCGAGATGCGGGTCGCCGTGACGGGCTGCTGCCATGGGGAGCTGGACAAGATCTACGAGACGCTGGCGGTGGCGGAGCGGCGCGGCGCGGGCCCCGTGGACCTGCTGCTGTGCTGCGGCGACTTCCAGGCGGTGCGCAACGAGGCCGACCTGCGCTGCATGGCCGTGCCGCCGCGCTACCGCCACATGCAGACCTTCTACCGGTGAGCCGGGGGGCCGGGAACGTCCTCACCGTCCCCCCTGCCCGCACACCCCCGTCCCGTCCCGTCCCGTCTGCGGGCCGGCCGCCGTCCTCGGAGGGACCGGACAGGTTCGCGGCCGCCTCCCCCCCCCGCCCCCACGGCTTGGTCCTGGGCTGAGCCGTCTGGGGGCGGGGCGGGGGGGGGAGTCGCTCCGTTAATCATCCGGGAGCTTTGCTCTGAGCCCAGGCCCTGCCCGTGTTTGAGACGCTCAAGTGACAGCCGTGGATTCGATCCACTTCCTTACCTCACTGAATCGTGCTGGCCTCAACGTCAGGCCGAGAGAGAGAGAGAAGGAGAGGGAGGGAGAAGAGAGAGTTCTGCTAGCCTAAAATTCAGGTGTGTGTGTGCGCGTGCTGGGACTTGAACTTGTGTGTAGTTGCTGCGACTTGAACTTGTATGTGTGTGCTGGGACTTGAACTTGTGTGTGTGTGTGTGTGTGCTGGGACTTGAACTTGTGTGTGTGTGTGTGTGTGTGTGCTGGGACTTGAACTTGTGTGTGTGTGTGTGTGTGTGTGCTGGGACTTGAACTTGTGTGTAGTTGCTGCGACTTGAACTTGTATGTGTGTGCTGGGACTTGAATTTGTGTGTGTGTGTGTGTGTGTGTGCTGGGACTTGAACTTGTGTGTGTGTG